TTTTGCCACAAATATATTCCATTGAGCTGTTTGTGTCAATATCTTTAAATGTACGTAATCAGTATCATATCATACATAATGCTATGCTGTTTTTTCCCCCCACTCAATATTATGGGCTTGAGGACCCTGTTGATTAATGACCATTATCTTCTCATTGAATAATATTCTAACACATGAGTATTACACGATTTAATTATTAGTTAAGCCTTGAATGGACAACTAAGCTGTTTCCAAGTTTTTACTATTTAAAGCAATGCCACAATAATATCCTTGTGCCTTTTATACAAATATTTGAGAGTTTCCATATATGAGCTTACAGTCCAGTGGGGAAATATGTCTTGCAATAGTGAGTATTTATAAATGCTATGAATAAAAATAATGGTTACAAGGGGAAAGAGCATAAATATGGGGAGGAAGAAAATTGTTCACATACCTTGGAGAAAGGTCCTTCCTGGTAGACAGGACAGCAAATATGAAGGCCCTGAGACAGAAAAATTTTCAGTGTATTGATATTTTATACAGAAATCCTGATGAATTCTATTTTTTTCCAATTATTTAACTAGAGTTTTTATTGCATTTCTACATAGGTGATTATGCTATCTAAAAATGATGAAATGTGATTCATGTTTATCATTCTTTATGTCACTTTTTTTTCTTATTTATGGAATGAATAAAAACTCCAGTACAATGTTAAGGAAGGGGGAAGAGAACAGTTTCTTTAAATTTCATAAGAATTTAGTTAAATATTTAGTAAATATCCTTCACAAGGTTAAGGATTTTTTTTATTCTACCCTTTCGCAGTTAAGAGAGTTCTAAATTTGGTAATAAGTAGTCCGGCCGGCATGGCTCAGTGGTTGAGCATTGACCATTCTACCCTTTCGCAGTTAAGAGAGTTTTAAATTTGGTAATAAGTAGTCCAGCCATCATGGCTCACTGGTTGAGCATTGACCTATGAACCAGGAAGTCACGGTCAGATTACTGGTCAGGGCACATGCCTAGGTTACAGGCTTGATCCCCCGTGTGGGGCATGCAGGAGGCAGCTGATCTAGGATTCTCTCTCATCACTGATGTTTCTATTTCTCTCTTCCTGTGAAGGGTCATTGATTCTTAATGGTACTCACACAAGGGAGAATATAAGGTGTAAAAATTTAAATAATTATAATTAAAATAGGGATAAATATTATAGATTACATTTAGTTTTTATTGATTTTAATCATTAGAATAGGGTTTATATACAGATATGTTGTTTGTAAAGTATAAATACATAATTGTCCATATTTAGATGAGCAAAAAGTCAAAAATAAACACATGGGACTTTGAGCAAGCCAAGTAGTTCTGGAACAAGTGGGGGGAAATATGAATTAAAATGTTGGACTACAAATGTATAGTTTAAAATGCCTTCAACAACAACAAAAAAAAGGAATTCAGATTATGAATCAGAGTGGAACTATAGGAGGTTGCAACTCATTCCGACATGGAATGGAGGGTGGTGGCATCTTGGTCAGTACCTTCCCCGTATGCTCCTCTAGCATCAGTCCAGGTTAGACGCACAAGGACTCAAGATCCTCACTGTGCTAAACGATGCACTACTTATTATTCTCAGTAAGTCACCTTATAATAAATCAAGTGTTTAGAGTCTTTAATAATTATAAGCTCCCAAATTATAAGTGAAGGCGGGCATCTTACTAAGTAGCCTAACAAAAAAAGAAAGCAAAGACTTTCCCCATGAGGACAGTGGATATGCCATGACCATGAAAAGAGTCTAAATTTATATAATGTGAACTTTAAACTGATCAGATAGAAACTTAGAAGAATCAGATGGGAACCGAGTGTGTGATTATATCATTCTTTTCTTTTTTGTTTTTTTGTGCTTCAATTTTATTTTGATGCGAAAAGTTCTCAGTTTTTCTGTTGACAGTCTTTCGGATCTCTTGCAGAAGGAAATAGATGATAAGGAGTCCAGGGAAGTCCTGTCCCTGAGGGTACAATTGATGTGTAACTTTGTAGCATGATAACTTGGGGAATCTGGAAGTTCAAGTTTACTATGTTATGTTAGGAGTTTAAGGGTCATGAAATTGGGTGTTCCCTGGAAGTTTGGGCTTTTGTTAGTTCCTCTGACTATGTAACATCCAGTAATAAATGCAGGTTTACAAATATTATGAATTTATCTGGTCTAAGAAAACATCTAATGTTTGAGTTTTCCCTGCAATATTCCTACCAAGGGGAAAACCATCAAGCTCTGTCTTAATGCTACTCATGATGTTCCCGATTCTCCTTGGCTTCCTGATCCCTGATAGCATCTCCCCATTGTTTCTAGTTTTGTTTCTTGCATCATCAAAACAAACCTAATGTGTTCTGTTCTCTGCCTAGAATGCTTTTTCTCCTCCTTTACAAGACACAACCATACCAATATTTTAAAAACAAAATAAAATTTTATCTTTTCTAGTAGTATTTTACAAGGTTTTCTTTGTTATTATGCCATTTAAAAAATTCCTTCTCTGGGAAAAATAATTGTTCTCTTCCTTGTAGTATAGAGAATTGTCTTAGAAGCATCTGTATAAAAGTTGGTTGTATAAACATTGATTTCTCTGTCATTAATTGAAGTTTTAAGTTACTTAATGATGCCAAATCATAGTCACTTTGTACTTTCCAGCAGAGTATCTTGATTAAACAGTAAATATAAACACAATATTTTGAAATGAATTTATTTGAAAAAATTCCCAGTTCTGTGGCCATTTTTATGGTGATGGCCTTCTCACTGAAAAAATACAAAACAAACAAAATTTCATATTCTTGCTATAAAAAGGGCCTGCAGAATTTTAAAGTTTTATTTCATTATGCATCAGCTTTTAAGGGGAAAAACCAAGCTGCCACCAGCTGCAATGAACCATTCTTGAGCAGGGATAAGAGAAGAACCTTAGACAAGTTAAATAGCTTATCTTCATTTCCCTAGTCTCATGTAAAAAATGAAAATACTAATAATATTTCTCTCTATATGTTATAGGGCATATACTAAAGCATTTGCTAAATGCCTAGCACCTACGAAATGCTCAATAACTGTCAGCTCTCATTACCAACATCATTATTATTAATAAGAAACTCAGTGATTTATTAGGTGCATATAAAGCAATAAACATAATTACAAATTAGTGTTTGTAAATATTTGCTATACATAGGGACCAGGAACCAATTTCTGCTTGCCTTTTTTCCCCCTTCTTCCATTTATCAGTCAAGAATATTGGATAAAGTGAAAAATAACAAAGCTTTAAGAAATAACTTTATAAATTCCTCCTTGTGCATGTGTCCATCTATGCATGCTGTTCCCTTTAGATTGCAAGGACCTTTCGGCCGGAGTCTGAATTTAACCCAGTGTTTAATATACGCAGTTATTTATTCAATTCTTAAAACTTCACTCTTGAATAAGCTGCCTCAGAACTAAGAAGATCAGGCATCCCATTTTTTTAGGGATTATTTTTTTTTAGTACATTTGATGGGTGGCCTGTGAAATCCTAATAGTATGACAAATTAACCCATCCCCCCCACTTTTTTTTTTTCATTTTGCAAATATGCTGACTCTCCTGTAGTAGGATTGTCATCCCAGGGTTCAGGCCTTCACTCCTCAATTGATACTTTAGCATTTTTTAAGCACAGCTCTGCCTAGACACTCAGAATGTACAAGTTCTGGAATTAGTGAACGAATGAATATTAAGCATTTACTTTGGACAAGGCCCAGAGCTAGACATTTTCAAATCTAGTATTTCAGTTGGTTTTCAAACGGCCACAGTGAAGCAAATGACGATCCCCATTTTACAGATGAGAAGGCAGGCTCAGGATGGTTAAGTGACTTACCTAAGCATGTTCCGAGCGAAGGAGGCAACAAGGTGAGAGGTAAATTTGGAATCGTTGGAGCCTGGGCTGTTGGGAAGAGAGCAAAGTGGAGGAGGTTCAGCAAACTAGGCTCTGGAAAGCTAGGCAAAGACCAAAGACGGAGCACCCTTTTGCCACGATAAAGGATTTGACCTTTAACCTAGAGAGCACGGTTCTCAAATTTAAGATTCATGGGCAGCACCTGGTCTGACCATTAAAAATGCAAATTATTGCCCTCCCCCGCCCCCCCCCCCAGGTGGGGCTGGAACTACATTTTCATAACCAGATTAAGTTATTCTATTGGTCTGCAATGAACTTTGAGAACTTTCCCGTAGGCAATGGGGAACTTTTGAAAGGATTTTTTTTGCAGGTGAGTTTCATTGTTCTTGGATAATGAAGAGGATGGGCCACAGGGATGGATACTAAATTAGAAGCAAGGAAATATTTAGAATAGTGGTTCTTAACCTTCCTAATGCCACGGCCCTAGTACCTTATGTTGTGGTGGCCCCCAATTTCATTGTTACAAATTGAACATAATTAAAGCATAGTGATTAATCACAAAACAATATGTAATTATATATGTGTTTTCCGATGGCCTTAGGCGACCCCTGTGAAAGGGTCGTTCGACCCCAAAGAGGTCACGACCCACAGGTAGAGAACCGCTGATTTAGGACATTGATTTTCAAACTCAGTTGCATAAAGCAATAACCTGGAAAGCTTAAAAAAATACTTGTGCTTGGATCCCATCCCCAGAGATTTGGAGTTAATCAGCCTAGAGTGTGGCCTGGGCATTGGAAAATTTGAAGTTCCTAAGCTCACTTTCATATGCAGCAACTTCTGAAAGCCACCCATTTAGGACACTATTCCAACAGTCCATTTGGGAAACATTGCAGCCCTGATTTATTATTATTATTATTATTCCTCACCCGAGGATATCTTTCCATTGATTTTTAGAGAGAGTGGGAGAGGGAAAGAGAGAGAAAATATCAATGTGAGAGAAACACATCCATTGGTTGCCTCCTGCACAAGCCCCGACTAGGGCCCAGGCCGGGAGGAGCCTGCAACCAGGTATGTGCCCTTAACTGGAATTCAACCCAGGACTCTTCCATCCCCAGGCAGATGCTCTATCCCAGCCGTGGGCAAACTACGGCCCGGCCCGTTTGAAATGAATAAAACTAAAAAAAAAACAAAGACCATACCCTTTTATGTAATGATGTTTACTTTGAATTTATATTAGTTCACACAAACACTCCATCCATGCTTTTGTTCCGGCCCTCCGGTCCAGTTTAAGAACCCATTGTGGCCCTCGAGTCAAAAAGTTTGCCCACCCCTGCTCTATCCACTGAGCCAAACCGGCTAGGGCTGCAGCCCTGAATTAATGCAGAATTGGCAGGACCCTGAAGGGAGTTATATGCGCTCCCAGATTAGGCATATGCTATCCCATTGTTGATTACAAAACTTTTCAGCCTAGATTGTATTTATATGCAATTGTACAAAGTCCAGTTCTAAAAGCAAAGAATAAACTTCCCACCTTGATCCACATGACACTGCTGATTAGATGTCTAGTACATAACATTGTTTTGTTGTTGTTTTTCATTGTTCTTTCACTTGCTGTTTCACAAATCCCCCACTTTGCAGGAATTCAGGTGGGAACATTCTGTATGGCTTCCTTTGCATGCTCTTCCTGGGGAATATATCCTGTTGTAATAGGAGAGGTTTTATAGGCTTTCATTCTGAAGCTTATATCCTCTCCATTCTTAAAAAGGAAAGTATTGTCTCCCGATCTGACTGAGGCCTGAAAGACTTTTCTTCCTTATTTTCCTTTATGGTTGCTACTGTTTTTCCTCTTACGTGGCTTTTTGGAATTTTCTAACCCCCAGGATGACTTAAGTTTAACAGCGGGCTTATGCTGTACAAACACACTTTGTGGATTAAATATTACTCCCTGTAAAAACCACAGAGCAAAGAAATGGCAAGAATTAAAAAAGAATTGCATAACAATAAGTCTTTAAAGCACATTGGAGGAATTAGAAAAATCATCAGTGCCAATATAGTATTATACTGCATATAAACATGTTCATTTTACAGATTATAAAATTGAGGTTCAGAAAAGAGAAAAGGAATGGAATTAACATGTCGTAATTGGCTGGTCTGACATTCTGCTAAGTATTTAATCTATTCCATTTTTCTGCAAGACTGTCTGAACTAGGTATTGTCAGTCCTGTTTTATGGATGTGGAAATTGTCTATCAGAAAGGTGAACTACCTTGCCCAAGTTCAAACAGCCAGAAGTGGTGAAAATGGCATTCAGATGGCTTTGAAGCCAATGCTGTTGGGGTTTTTTGTTGTTGTTAATTCTCACCTGAGGATATTTTTCCATGAATTTTTAGGGAAAGTAGAGGAGAGAGGGAACGACAAAGAGAAACACTGATGTGAGAGAAACACATCGATTGGTTGCCTCCTGCAGGAGCCCTGACCAGGGAGGAGCCTGCAACCAAGGTATGTGCCCTTGACTGGGATCAAACCCCGGGCTCTTTAGGTCGAAGGCCGATGCTCTATCCACTCAACCAAACCGGCTAAGGCATTGGTTTGGTTTGGTTTTGCATCTCTTACAGTTGACCATAATAAGTGGAAGTTCAGTGGCCTTGTGACTTCATATCCAGGAGTTTTGCTTGTTAACATCATAAGTTGCTTGTATTATTTTGGGGTATCAGAATCGATTTAGCCTGCATCTAGACATCACATTTGATCCAAGGTTAAGAAAATGCTGTTGTCTCTATAGTTTTAGAGCATATTCTCACTACAGGTCTCAAGCTGAGAGCTCCAGTTCTTGGGCTAACCTAAATGAATTAACGTAAGGCATAGAATTATAGGTACTGTGTACAAAGTGCTTACTATGTACCTACAGTCCTTTAAACAAATTAACTCTTGAATTCCCTTCACAATCACCTGAATAGATGCTATCATCAGTCACACCTTAGAGAACAAGAAACTGGTAAAAGAAAGAAGGGGAATAACCTGCCAAAAGTCCCAGAGATGGAGGCCAAGTCCACATCCCTAAGGGCTTGGCCATGCTGCCTCTATGCATGGCTTTCGCCATCTCTCCTCCCTCAGCCATCACCCTCACCCTTCCCAATGCTGCCCAGCAGACTGACCTGCAGATCACAGCTACCCACTGCTCACTCTGGGTTTTGATTGTACTTGTCTTACAGAAATTCCTTCCTGGGGATTTCTAAAATAATTCTTTTTCTTTCCCTTTAAGAATAGCCCTGTGGCCCTACCTGGCTTGGCTCAATGGATAGAGCGTAGGCCTGCGGACTGCAGGGTCTCGGGGTTTGATTCCAGTCAAGGGCATATGCCTGGGTTGCAGGCTCAATCCCTAGTAGGAGGCGTGCAGGAGGCAGCCAATCAATGATTCTCTCTCATCATTGATGTTTCTATCTCTCTCTCCCTCTCCCTTCCCCTCTGAAATCAATACAAATATATATTTTTTTAAATTAAAATGATGTTTCTTCTCTCTCTCCCTCTCCCTTCCCCTCTGAAATCAATACAAATATATATTTTTTTAAATTAAAAAAAAAAGAACAGCCCTGTGGTCCAGATCTTGGGGTCATGCTGGCAGGAGTCATCCACGTTCCACTATTGCTTGAATTGCATGTCACCCTATATCTGCTGTAGAGGATCTATTTAGGCTTCTCGCTCCATGCTTTGGGTTTGTTTTTTTGTTTTTTTCTATGACCATAGACTATAGTCTCCAAAGAAAATTTTTTCTTTATTTTACCTGACTGAGCATTCTTTTATTTTTTAATGTAATTTTATTTATTTATTATTTTTCCAGTCACATCCAAGAATTTTGGACAGAGCTCTGGGCCTCGCAGGCCCAGCTCATGGCCCCGCAGCCAGGGCTGGAGGATAGTGGTTCCATACAAAAAAACTCAGGGCACACAGTAACCCCACAAAGAGACACACTAGAGATTACTGTAGTTGGGAGACAGACGTGCGAACAGGTCAAATCTTCATAAATAAAAATCCAGTGAAAATGACAACCCGAATTCATCCTTGTACACAGAGCACGCCAGGGCAGGTAAGTGGGTGGCGGTGGCCAGAAGTCACCATCCTCACTGGTCGGGGGACCTGATGATGCATGGGCCCAGATGTCCATGGCACAGGGCGGGTGGGGGTCACAGACGATGGACACTAAGACACTGCCCACTGACAAGAACAACTACCTGGGGGGGGAGGGGGAGCAGTTGCCCAGCTGCGTATAGGTCAGGCTGTCCATTCTGAAATGAGGAGGGAGGGGGTGGTCTTTACATCATATTCTGTGACTGGTGGGCTTAGACAGGGGCTGCTTTGTGGAGAGGCTACTTTATTTTGCATTACTGAGCATTCTTTTCATGGTAGACATTTACCTGATCTATTTTAAAGAAATGGCAAGCCCTTTACCTAATCTGTTATTGGATTTATTTGCTATCTGAGCCTCAGTTGATCAAGATTTATTTATTTGTTTATTCCTTTATTTAGTTTTATCGACAGCAGAATGTATATTCATGTTTCTGGCAGTATCTGTAATATATAAACCCAAGAGGTTATGAAGATTAGTTTCTGAATTTGCAATTATTCCCTGTGAAGGTTGATTACAGCCATTGAGATCATGAAAATAAAATGTCAACTCTTTTCTTATTTTAATGAATAGAATTCCTTTCCTTTTCATGGATAAAACAGCAGTTCCATAACTTTAGAGAGATAGTTGAGGTGTTTTTTTCCGCCAAATAGGTATTTTCAGAGGGATGATCTATGGCTTGTCAGCTTACAGCACAGCTGATGTAAAAAGTTTGCGATGGCAACCCTAAATGTTTTATCACCTGTCAGAAATTTCACTGATAATAAAAAGTAACATCCTTTAAATTAATTAGACATGATTAGGACTTTAAGCCCAGAGGCCACTTCATTATGCAAAAATTGTAACAGTTAGCTATTTAAATTACCATTAAATTGATTCTTATGTTAATTGATATCTCACTTATAACCCTAGATTTTAATTTATATAAGATCTTTGGAAATAATAATAAGCTATAATAAAATGTTACTTGGGATAAATCCTTTTATGAAAAAATACTCTGAAAAATTGATTATATTCGACCCTCGGTAGAATTTCTCTATTAGAATCAAGCTAAATTCTCATAAAATGGCAAGGCTTAGATTCATCTCTTGTGCGCATGCAGCCCCCACAAAAACCAATAGAGGTGGCCCATGTTTCCCCCCAGTGACTACTGTCCTACCTTCTCGTCTGACACAGGAAATAGAGTTTAATTTAACAATTTGAGATGGAGGGTGTGCTGTGACACATTTTGGGAGAAGGTACACAGTCCCCTCTGAAGATGGGAAGCGATGTGTATTTCAGAGAGGAACCGACGCCGTGGGTTAGAATAAACGTGCGTACCGCCTCACAGGGTTTCAACAAGCAAGTGCTGTCACAGTGCATTTTTGAAGCTAAAATTCTAGTTGTAGGAACCTTGGGATTAGTTGTTCTTTAGGGACAAATTCAGATGAACTCTCTTTCAAGAGTCAAGTCTGTACTAATTAAAATCCCTTTATATTTTTATTTCTAAACTTCTTGCTAGATTGCAAGTTTCGTCAGTGTAGAGAAGAGAGTTTATCATGACCATGTGGGCCTAATTCCGGGCCGAGGTTTTCAATTGCTTAAGAATTTTCCAAGGTTTTGTGGATTTGGGCAGTGACCGTATTTACGTTGTAAACTGCAACTACAACATTACAAATTACAAGAAACTGTATTTGTAGGCATGGAACCAGTGTAGAGAAGAGAGTTAGTTTATCATGACCATGTGGGCCTAATCCCGGGGCGAGGTTTTCAATTGCTTCAGGATTTTCCAAGGTTTTGTGGATTTGGGCAGTGACCGTGTTTAAGTTGTAAACTGCAACTACAACATTACAAATTACAAGAAACTGTATTTGTAGGCATGGAACCAGCACTGGATTTTTAGGAAAATTGTTAGCTGTGGAAAAGTAAATTTACATAGTGCAGGCTGACCTCCCTTGCTATCATTGCTTTTCCTTCTTCACAGTGAAGATCCTCAGTCATAATTTAGTGGTTTTGATTTCTGCTTTTCTTTCTTTCTTTCCTTTTTTTTGTCACATCCTGGGCACTGAGTAGAGATCTGGGAGTTGAGCAAGGTCTGTGCCCACTAATGGGAAGCAAGCGCCATCTGAGAGGAGAGGCAGAGTTGGGGGTGGGGCTGGTATGGGAGTTCATGAAGAAGGAATACAACTTTATCTCAAAAGCTCCAGAAGTCATAATCCAAGGAAGATGCTGAGAGGGGGTGTTAGCATCAGCCCACTGTTCCCTCCTCTGGTTTGCAATGCTTATTCATATTTTGTTTCTGCAGACTTGGTTTCTGCTTTCCCAGTGGTTGCCCTCTCAGGCACTCCCAACAGGGGGCGCTAAGGAGGAGGAAGGACCACCATTTCTGTTGCTCCCTGGTCTTGTCCGCATCACCCTAGTGGTGCTGCTTCTCCCCAGCAGCTGTAGCTCGCTCCGGCAGCAGCTGCTGATTCACTATTCAGTTTTCTCAACACTCACAGATCAGCTCCATCACACCGCCTAGAGCAATGGTTCTCAACCTTCCTAATGCCGCGACCCTTTAATACAGTTCCTCATGTTGTGGTGACCCCCCAACCATAAAATTATTTTCGTTGCTACTTCATAACTGTAATTTTGCTACTGTTATGAATCGTCATGTAAATATCTGAGATGCAGGATGTATTTTCATTGTTACAAATTGAACATAATTAAAGCATAGTGATTAATCACAAAGACAATATGTAATTATATATGTGTTTTCCGATGGTCTTAGGCAACCCCTGTGAAAGGGTCATTCGACCCCCAAGGGGTCGCGACCCACAGGTTGAGAACCACTGGCCTAGCCACCAGCACTGGTTGGCCAGGGCTATACATCTTCTTCGGGGCTTCATCCCAGAGCCACAGATTCCTCCTATGACTCGGAGGTTCCGGCATTGTGTTAATCAGTATGGTAGCCATGACACCTGGAGAGTGAAAATTATAAAAAAGAAATAAAATGTTAACATTCTAGTTTCTCAGGCACATCGCCACCAGCACTGGTTGCCCAGGGCTATACATCTTCTTCGGGGCCTCATCCCAGAGCCACAAGATTCCTCCTGTGACTCGGAGGTTCCAGCATTGTGTTAATCAGTATGGTAGCCACGACACCTAGATAGTGAACATTATAAAAATGAAATAAAATGTTAACATTCTAGTTTCTCAGGCACATCTCAAGAGTTCAAGAGTCGCACGTGAGAGCATGAACCATTTCCATCATTGCAGAAAACTCTGCCCAACAGTAGCGCTGTCTGCACAGAATGAGCGCTGCTGGCTTCTCAGCGGGCTGAATTTTTGTTGGGTGGGGTTTCTCCTCCAAATGTTGATAATCTCAACCTCTTCCCTCGGTCCCTCCTTTCATAAAGGTGGTAGCTCCCTTTCCTATAGCTGCTACCTCCATGCTGCCTTATTTCCTTTAGTGCTTTCTTGGTTTTTAATACCTAGGCAACAATTCATTACATCAAATTCTCTCTATTAAAATCAGAGCCAGCTAGGTACCTTGGGAATTGGTGTAAAAAATAAAATGCAGATCTTTTTGTTCAAAAATCTTTTTGTCATGGTGTTTTAAATTTTCTGTTTCATGTCATTCTAAGTGAAAATAAAATTAAAATTTTAAAACATTAGTATAGATTTTTACTGTATATCTTTAGAGTGTAAAATGCCAGTTTTAACTGCAAATAGCAGACCATTCATTCAAATGTCAAATCGCCAACATTACACAACGTGTATTTTGTGGCTCATTTCTGGAGAGTTCCTCATGCTGGCCAGAAGCAACAAATGCAAGTGAGACATAAGAAGGCTGGAAGGTGGAAGAGAGGCTATCTCTAGGCAGAAAGATGACTAAGGGGGGGTGGGGGCGTTCAGTCATGGGGATAGTCACAGGGTGAGTGTGGATTCTCATAGGACCTGCCTCATCATACAGAGGTCTGGGCCTGACAGCTACTGGGTTTCCCCTCTCACTGCCTGCTGAACTGATGTGGCACACCCTGGCCAAATGTGAAGTCTGGGGAAATCAAGCCAGGTGACACTCTTTCTCCTGGGACTACCACCCAACCCACAGCAGGTCAGTGGCCCTCAAGGATCTTTAAACCTCAGCACCGGGACACACTTGGTATCGAGATAGTGGTGGGTTCGTGATTCATTCCATCCATACAGGCCTGGCCAACCTAGGGAGGGGATGGCTGCTACTATGCCCAGCTCCACGAGTCTGTGAGATGAGTTTGGGACAAATGCATCCAACCCTGACTTTCCTCGTCCCTGTCTCCAGGCCCATGCTGGGGTGAAGAGAAGCATCAGTGATTGGGTAGGGGAGATGGAGGCCCATCAGGGTCTAGGGCCCCAGAGTTGGGAGGAATGGGTGGCTGAAAACCCAGTCTAGAGGGGCATCAACAGGAGAGTCCACCTGTGAGCTGAGGCTCTAAGCCCTTGAAACATGCTCTTGTCCCAATGGCCTTCACTCACAAAATACAGATTCAATGGTAAAATTAGTAAGAATTTCAATGCAGCATCCACAGTATAAATTCCAAGTGTAAACCCTTCTGAGCATGGGCCCTGGGTGTGTACACTGACCACTTCTCTGTGAGGTTGTCCCTGATAAAATCCCTGTGTGCTTCTACCTCTTGATTGGACCCTGACTGATACAAAGGGGAAGCCAGATGTTAGGTTAACTCTGGGGCAGAAGACAATGAGGCGGCAAATTCTGCTCAGGGTTATTCGTCCCCTGCCATTCCCATCTGAACATCGATCAGTCAGCTTCCTTTCCTACTGACATTTCCCAGTTGACTCCAGGGTTCATTGATTTGAACTTTTTATCCTTTATTTCTCTTTTTAAAAAGCAGAATGTTATTAAGTTGATTTTCTCTATGACTGTGGGTTTTTTCTCTGCCCCAACTCTACCTTCTTCAGATGCCTCTACTTTGTAAAATTATCACCCTTCAAAATTGTCCATACTTTTCTTTAACATACCTCAGTTTTTACTTCTGAAGTAGTG